TAAAGATAGCATCAGTAAGTGTAGAACTAGCATAATTAATAATAAAACTAGCCTACTAATTATAAAGATAGCATCAGTAAGTGTAGAACTAGCATAATTAATAATAAAACTAGCCTACTAATTATAAAGATAGCGTCAGTAAATGTAGATCTAGCATCATTAACAAAAACAACTAGCCTCGCTAGATATAAATATAGCGTCAGTAAGTGTAGATCTAGCATCATTAACAAAAACAACTAGCCTCGCTAGATATAAATATAGCGTCAGTAAGTGTAGATCTAGCATCATTAACAAAAACAACTAGCCTCGCTAAATATAAATATAGCGTCAGTAAGTGTAGATCATTAACAAACACAACTAACCTCGCTAGATATAAATATAGCGTCAGTAAGTGTAGAACTAGCATAATTAACAACAAAACTAGCCTCGCTAGATATAAATATAGCGTCAGTAAGTGTAGAACTAGAATCATTAACAATAAAACTAGCTCTCCTAGATATACAAATAGCATTAATAAGTGTATAATTAGTATAATCAACAATAAAAATAGCATCAGTAATTGTAGAACTAGCATAATTAACACTAAAACTAGCCTTGCTAGATTCAAAAACAGCACCAGTAAGTGTAGAACTAGCATAATTAACAGTAAAACTAGCCTTTCTAGATACACAAATAACATCGGTAAGTGTAGAACTAGTATTATTAACAAGAAAACTAGTTCTGCTGGATTCAAAAACAGCATCAATAAGTATAGAACTAACATAATTAACACTAAAGCTACCCTTGATATATATTCAAATAACATCAGTAAGTGTAGAACTAGTATTATTAACAACAAAACTAGCCCTGCTAGATATAAAAATATCATACCTAAGTGTAGAACTAGCAGTATTAACAATAAGCTAGCTCTGTTAAATTCAAAAAATAGCATCAGTAATTGTAGAACTAGCATAATTAACAATAACATCACCACCCACCGCCAACTCTTGGGCTACTCTTTTACCAACGAATAGTGGGATTGACCGTCACATTATAATGCCCCCACGGCTGAAAGGGGCGAGCATGTTTGATGGGACGGGGATTCGAACCCACGACCCTCAGATTGCGAGTCGAGCTCCCTAACCACCTGGCCATGCCGGGCCATCTGTAGTGTGTTTGTGTGTTAGAAATTAAAGCTATACAATGGGCTATCTGTGCTCTGCCCACCACAGGTATCGAAACCCAGTTTCTAGCATTGTAATTCCGCAGACATACCGCTGTGCCACTGGAGCCCATAAGTGTAGAACTAGCATAATGAACAATAAAAATAGTCCTGCTTGATTCAAAAATAGTATCAGTAAGTTTAGAACTAGCATAATTAGCAATAAAACTAGCCTCGCTAGGTACAAAACTATCATCAGTAAGCATAAAACTTTGCTCTATAAAAAATACATTAACTAGTATCAATGTTAATTTTAGTTTCTTGTTCCCCAGGGTCTTCTTGACTCTTTACATCTTAGAACAAATAAGGAAAAAAAGTAATTTTCATCAGCTGTTCCGTCGGCATAATCTCGATGGGCTATCTGTGCTGTGCCCACCATGAGTAATGAACAGGCTTTAGCATTTTAAGCCTACAGACTTACCACTGAGCAACGGAGGGGCGAAAACTGAGAACCTGGAGTTTAGTTTTGATAATTCTTCGAAAAGAACTTCCATAATCTATAGTTCCAACAATGAACAGGAAAAATCTATCATGAGAAGAAAATATATCTGCATATATAAAAAGTAGCATTACTACATTAAATAGGTATACACTGGCACCTGTAATTATAAAATTAACATAAGAAATAATATATATAAACCAGGATCAGTAAGTATAAAAAATGAGTATTGGTAAATACAAAAGTAACATTGTGAAACTCATGTATTGATACAAAAGTAACATTGTGAAACTTAAAATATACTATGTTTAAAAGAGGTATCATGTTTCCACACTCTCGGTACTAATTGATCTCCCACACTCCGGGTGCTAGTTCACAATGTTCTCACGCTTCAGTATTACTTAATAGCGTTCCAACACTCTAAATACTAGTTGATCGCGTTCCAACACCCTAAATACTAGTTGATCACGTTCTCACACTCTCAGTACTAGTTTATCACGTTCTCACACTCTCAGTACTAGTTGATCACGTTCCAACATTCTAAATACTAGTTGATCACGTTACAACACTTTAAATACTAGTTGATCACGTTCCCATACTCTTAAGTACTAGTTGATCACGTTCTCACACTCAGAGTACTAGTTGATCACGTTCTCACACTCAGAGTACTAGTTGATCACGTTCTCAC